TGAAGAACAAATCAAGAGAACCGAGGAGAACAGGTGTGGCGATGAAAATCATAGCTCAGTACCCTGCTAGCCCAGAGTAGAATGTGCTGGTTTGGTATGAGTAGTAGGTTTTATTTTTGAGAGGTCTGGGAATACGACTGCCATTCAGTTATATGGAAAAATCCTGACCATTCCCAGGCCCCCCCAAAGTAACCCACCAAATCACTCTAACACAGGAATGTTGCACTTCCCACAGTAGGAGAGCCCTGTAGCACATTCGTAATGGCTGCCATTCCTGCTCAGTTCTCCCACTCACAAGACTCCAGAGGGCAGAAACTAGGAGGAAGGACATTGCAGCTCTCGCAGATGTTCTAGCATTTTCGAGGTGGTATCAGCTGCTCCTGGCTAGCCCATTGCTTGAGGCACATGGGAAGACTTGTTTGAGAGGTCTTTTTGGTCAAGCACCCCCAAATCTTTGTTATTAAAAATGTCAGCAAACAATCCTTGAGTTTAATTATGCTGAGCTAACCAATAGCTTCAACATGTTTAAGTGGCACGCAAATGGTAAAAATTCCAATTCACAAATGGAAACTATATACAAACAACTGGGGGTGGGGGGCAGGGAGCTCGAGACAACTGGCCCCAGCCTCTGAAAGTTATGTCCTTGTCATCGTTTGTCTACAGTGTGAGCACACATGCACTTTACAGTGTTGAAAGTATATTAACTGCTTCATAAGTCCCCTTAGTTGCTATCTCTTCAAAGTCAATGTCAAGTTTCCCAGTCATCCCATACAGCTATGATGCTCAATCCTAACTTTTCTTTGACATCCTAGCAATTTGACAGTACCCAACACTGGGGCTCAGGGGGCTCCCCAGGCCAGTTAGATCAGAATCTTGGGAGGTGGCTTGGGCATCAGAAGTTTGTAAAGCTCCCCCGGTGATTTTGGGGTGTGACTAGGATTTAAGGATTTGCGGAAGGAGGGAGGCAGGAAGCCAAGCCAGAAGGTAGACCTTCAAGTTCAAGAGCGAAGGACTTTGAAGGATGCCACGGACAGCAGGTTGCAGGGCTGCAGCTGGTGCCCATCACTCCTTAGTGAACCTCCAGGAGGGGCGGGTTCTGGAAACTAAGTATTGATCAGATTTGGCAGGCTTTGCCTTAAGTCTCAGTCTCTTGGCTGAAATTGACCGAAATACCTTTGCAATACCTTTGAGATCTTAAGAAACTTAAGGAAACAGGGATGCAACCCCAGTGCAGAGCTCAGGAGATGCTCCAATTCTGGCAGACTTAGGGCTGGTTGGGCAGAGTTTGAGTCACAGGTCCTGGGAGCAGTCTAGACAGAGCGCTGATGGGAGGGTGGTAAGCACCAGACCAGCTGGCGGTCCACCGTGAAAGACTCACTCTGGGTTGGCACCTCTCTGGCCCTCACCCCTTGGGTACAGTGCAGTTGGAAGAAGTCAGAGTGGGGTCCCCTAGAGCGATGGTTCTTAGCCTACAGCATCTGCAGGCCTTGTTAGTGCATGGATTGAGGGGTTCCCTTGCAGAGTTTATGATTTTAGGTCTATGATGAAGCCCAGGAATCCATGTTTCTAACAAGTCCCGAGATTGCTGATAGGACTGTGGACCACCCTTGAAAGCCCCTGTTTTAGAGCAGGAGACCCAGGCCCAGATGCCCAAGTCCAGACGGACACCAGACGTCATGAGTCCACTGTGCCCGATAAGAAGGAACAGAACATGGTCCTGAGATGAGCTGGGGCTTATTTGCACACATTGTCAAAAGTGTGAGCACTGTCTGATGAAGTGATTCCCCCAGGAGAACAGACAGAGGTTTAAAAATAGGTTTGTATTTGCGTCGTTTGTCCCTAATTCTCCTTGCATTAGAAATTGGTGATATTCAAATTGGATTTAATTTTAGAGCCCCAACCTTCAATCGCAAGACACTAAGAACAGTGACAGCAATTTCTCCAAGCTATTTGGTGTTTCAGTGTTTGAGAAAGGGAAGCTGCTGCTCAGGGAACAATCACCTGCTCCTACCCTGAGTAAGGAAGACCCTCAGAGGCTCAGGAAACGCTGGCAGGGTCTAGGTGTGATGCAGGGGCCCTGGCCTGCAGCAGGGCCGGTTGTAGTTGGAGGAGACCAGAGAGGGATCCAGAGTTTGCAGGTACAGACCAGGACACCGCTGGGGTTGACCTAGAGCCAATAGCTCAGAAGGCAAATCTGCCTACGAGTTGTGGCATTTTTTTACTTAGATCAACATCTTTTTCTCCGTCATCAAGATTGAAAGCTTCCTGCTTTGTCAAATATCCAGAATATTTCCAGTGAATCAGTCTTACTTCCCTGGTTACTGCACAGATTAAAAGTAGAGGTTCAGTGTGGCACAGGACAGTCCCCGGCCTTAACAGTGGCTCCTGAGTTCCCCGTGCTACCTTAGGTCCATCACATACTTCTCACCCTCCCCCCAAGCCTCCTACTGACCCTGTTAAACCTCTAGCCAGTTCTTGAGCCCTGGGAATCTGTGATGTCTTCCATCCTTTTGTCCAGCTGGACTCCTATTCATCCTGAAGAACCCCACTCAGATGTCACTCCTTCTACAAACATGTCTCTGCTGAATCTGGTCAGATAAAACACATTTTCCTTCACTATGTTTCCACATCTTGTCAAATGTACCTACCTGTCATATTGTTTTAAGTGCTTGCTCATATGTTTGTCTTTCCTCGCTTCTAGAGAATTTGCTCTTGGCAATTAAATGTTATGTCTTAATCATCTCTGTCCCTAGTGCCTAGCACGTGGCATGTACAGGTTTTGCAGGTTAAGTGTTCAATTCATGAAATAAATGAATTTCAATGTTTGGCAAGAAAAGTGTCCCTTGAGCACCCGGGTGGCTGGGGGTGGGGGGGTGTGCAGACATGAACACCCACAGTCTAACAGTGGAGGACCTCAGCAACGCCACCTGTGCCAGTCTCTCCACCTACGGAAGAGGGAGTCGAAAATGCTTAAGGATACTGAGTGACTATGAATTGAACGGAGATGCAGGTCTGTGAGTTTCACTCGGGGCCAGTCGGGTTTGTGGACTAGGTCAGAGCCTCTTGCCAAGAAGGATGGGCCAGCCCCATGCAGCCCACCTCTCTCCCTCCACGCTCAACCCTGGGAGAACAGGAAAATGTCCCTTGACACAGATTGTCACCTTTTGTCGGATTTAAGAAAGTTTTCATCTCAAAGCCTGACCCCCAGTTGGATATTGGAAGATTTTTCTGGTACTTTCTTAGGCAAAAAGATATTTTGAGCAGAGAAGGATGCAAAAGAAATGGAGGAGCTCACTCCTTAATTTCATGAAATAAAAGAGCATCACGAAGGCCACTCCAAAGCCTGTTACCCCGACCTCCCGCTCCCCTGCGTAGCTATTAGGGATGTGAGGCCATGGCAGCTGCGAGCATCTGCTCCCCTCGTGTGAGAGGAGGGGTGCAGGGAAATGGTGGGTACAGATCTTCACTGGAGAAAGACATGATGGGGTTGGGGGAGAGGTGGAATTTCAGAGAATGTGACATGAAAGGTAAAGATGTTAGTCTAGGACCATTTATGGAGGACCATACCCTAGGCAATAGAAATAATAATAGTTCATTTGTTCATTAAAAAAAAAAAGTCACTCTCCTGCTTAGAGCCATCTACTCCCTTCTCATTGCCTTTAAGATAAAGTCATAGCTTCTAGGGGGCCTCCCTGGTCCCGCAGGAGTTAAGTCTCAGCACTACAAAGCTGTCCACAGCCACTGAGCCACAAGTTCCATGCCCACCAGGGAGGTGACCCACAGGACTTGGTACACGTCTCCTGTCACCCTGCTGCTCCCCTTGCAGTATATTTCAGTAGATCCACCTGTTCTGTTCCCCAGCCTGTGTCTGGTGAGTCCTCTCACCCCCCAGCACCTCCGGCCCACACCCTAGTTCTTGTATACAGAAATAAATAAATCTAAAAAAAACATAAAAGTCATAGCTGCTAGCTGGGTACAACTCATGCCCAGGTCTCGGTCCTAGGACCTTGCTACCTGCTGCGCCTTCTGCCTAGAAGCGCTCTCCCTCGTTGCTTGCCATCCTTCAGATCTAGCGTGAAGACCACATCCGCCAGGGACCCTCCCCTGGCATCCTCAGTGGCCCCTTTCTACTCTCCCCAACTCTGGATCGTCAAGTCCTCTTCATTTTCTTCCCGGATACAGAAAATCTGAAGGTGTCATGTGTGCACAGGACTCCAAGCTCCATGAGTGTAGACTAGCACCTCACACAGTGCTTGGCGCATAGGAGGTACCCGGGAAACATGAATGAAGGAATGAAGCACCTGTGTGGGGGTGGGGGTGCTTATGGGAATGAGAAGACAATAGTAGCTTTCCATTGCTTCTAAGAACTAAAGCCTAAAATTGAATAGAATTGTTTTCTCTCTGTTACCATCTCCATAGCTTCTGATGCCTAAAGCTTAACTCTTGGCGCCATTCTCTGGGATTCCCGTCCTTGTCTTGCATGAGCCTGGCATCTGCCCAGTGCTCAGGTGGAACTGTCTGTCACCACTTCTCACCTGGATTTTCATCAAAGCACCCACTTGTTCTCAACTGTCAGGACTTTTTCTTCTGTGCATTTTATCTTTGTCACGTTGCTCGGGAGTTGGGTCCATGACAGCTGAGTGTGCAACATACAGACTAAGTTCATCTTGATACTGTGCTGGGGTCGGCGGGAGCAGGTCTGGTGTGAGAACAGAAGCCCCGGCACCAGGCCTAAGGTCACCTGTGGATGGTGTCCAGGCGGAAGCTGAGAGCTTTGGCACAAGAGTGACAGACAGGTGTCACCATGGGTCTGTACAAAGTCAGGGCCCTGAAAGTTTCAGAATCTGGACTCTCGCTCCTGACACTGGTAAAACGCCAGACTGAGGGCCCGGGTTTGTCCTGTAACCTTCTGCACCTTCCCCGCTTGGGAACAGTGGTCCCTCTGCTGGAGAATGTGGTGACATGCCCACCTAATGCCAGCCTTCTCCTCCACAGAGTCCTGGCGCTTGGTCGTGCAGCCCAGGGGACTAGATGGCATGCTGGACCCAGGCTCAGCGCAGCGTCCGGACCCAATAACGGCTTTTCCAAGGGAGCAGCTTTCTGTCCTGGCCACATTGAGGTAGGCACTAGCGAGCGTCTGTCTCTAGGTTCTGGGCTAGGGAACCGCCACATCAGCTGGAAATGTGTCCCAGGTGAGGAAGGGGCATCAGAACCAGCTGCTGATCAGCAGAGGCCTGAGGGGGTGGGGAGACCCAGGCCACCTAGGAGAGGAAGCCCCGGGGGCTCTCAGGCTGGCCCCTGGCCTCCAGGGGCCACAGTAAGCAGCTGCTCTGCCCACCCTCAAAGCAATAGGAACGGGACCTCGAATAGGGAGAGCAGCAGCCAGACCTGCACACAGTCCCCGCCAGTGTCTGAGCACAAGCCCCAGAGAGGCAAAGGGTCCTCGACCCCTCGTCACACTCTTGGTCACGACACAGCGGGCGGGGAGAGGCCCATCTGAAGACGGAAGTCGGGCCCGAGTCCCACCTCTACCAGGTGTGTGCCTGCTGTCAGGTGACACGCACGTCCTGCATCTGGCTCCTCGGTATGTCTTGGCCGTTCATGAGACGTTCTGTCCAGTAGATGGTCACCCACCCTAGTCATCGTACGATGCATCTCAGAGCACACGCCGGCGGTTTCTGTCCCATTTCTGTCCCGGATTCAGACCAATGAACCCACAGGCACCACTGAGTGCTTCCGGCTCATAGTGCTGTTTGAATATTTGAAGAGCTTTGGGGTCAAGTCTACATGATGCCCAGGAACTAGCTATCAAGCTAATTAAAGATCCAAATATTCCCTGATAGTGGGATTTGCATAGTCAATTGAGTGGAGTTTTCATGGGCGTCAGAGCACCAAGGACACAGCAGCAACCAGGCCTCTTTCCTCCTAAAGGTGCCTGGCATTGCTCTGCCCGGACTACACGTGAAGGCTGCCTGCCCTGTACACTGCAGCCAGGTCAGCTCGCCCCCCTTCAAATGCCAAGGATTGGCCTTGATTGTTGGGTCTCAGCCGAAGCCCCGAGGCCAGCAGCAGCAGCGCCTGGCAGTGGTGAGACGGGCAGATCTCTGACCTACTGAATCAGGAAGCCTGGAGGGCCCATCCACCTGTGACTTGCAAACGCGCCAGGTGATTCCGTCTCCCTGGACCTCTGCACTCCACATCTGGTGTGCCTTGCAGCCCACGCAGCCCCTGTGGAATCTGGCCTGGGAGGTGCCAGCAGAGGCCCTGGCTTCCATCAAGGCCTTTCTCTGCTTGGCCTCAGCTCCACCTCCCTGGGGAACTGAGGAGCCACAGAATTCCTCCGAGTCTTTGCAACAGAAGACAGCGGCTTGACTCTCAGGGAGGGTGGATGGCAAGTGTAGGAGAAATGGCCCTTGACCCACCCTCAAGATGCAGTGAGGAAGACAGAAGAGGAGAGAGCAGGAGGCTGTCTTTCCTCTGCCTCAAAAACTCCCGTCCCCAGTAACACTCAGTGACCCTGGTCCACTGGTCCAACCTCAAGCCAGAGCCCCGCTCAATCAACAGCACCACTCGCCGGAAGGCAGGAGTGAACCTGCTGCCACCCTCCCTCCACAATGCTCCTCCAAATACACAGTCGCCAAGCCCCCACCAAGAACCCCCAGCCTCCCCAGCACAATTATCTGGGCTGGTTCCGTGGCTCCGCCTTGCAGCTCCCCTCTACTCAGGCCTCAGGCGAGGCCAGCATCGGTGTGGAGACCACGTGGCACAGGAAATTTCTCTAATTATTGGAGCGGGTGAAGCACCGGAAATCCAGACTGGAGACTGGCCCAGGAGAGAGCAGGAGCACTGGGCAGCCCATCAGAGTGGACAAAAGGCATCAAGTGGCCCCTCCCCTCCATTCGTTTCCCTCCGTTCTGGGGAGGAGAGGGCGAACACAGTCCACTCACCAGGGCATTCTTCTTCATTCTTCTTCAGGAGCCCCGACAGTGTCTTCCCGGCCTCGGCGCACACAGAGCTCTGCCCAGCCAGCCCCAGCCAGCACTAACGTCCCTTCGGGGGAAAGCTTGAAAGGCTGTTTAAAAAAAATAAATAAATAAAACTCCTTCCTCACTTTAAGGAGAGTGCATACTCTTATAAAGTGCTTGCTGCAATATATATCCCTAGGCGGGGGGGGGAAAAAAAACCACCATTTTCTTTTCTTTTTATTTACTGACACTTCTTTCAAAGAAATAATGTTTAACTTAAAGGCTCAGAAGGAACATGATCATATGAATCAGTTAAAGATATTTTTAAACTTTTTTTTTAAGATTTATTTATTTATACATACAGAACTGGGGTACAGGCCAGAGGCCCAGGGGCGGTGAGAGGCTTCACCAGAGACAGAGTGGGGAGCAGAACAGGCAGATCGACGAAGTACACTGCTGAGGGGAGCAGCGGGCGGGTCAGGAGAGGTCTGCCGTGCCATGTGGTCACCTCTGGGGCAGGCGGGGATCAAACTCATGCGGAAGTGGCTTTAGATTCTCAGTGCAGTGCTTTAACCCGCTGCGCCACCAGGGAGGGCCAGATATTTCTAAACTTTTTTTAAACATCTTTTCATCTGGAACCCAAATGAAAGAGGGCAGCATTTTGGCAGCATTTTCAAATCCTCAGCAAGCAGCCTGTCCACTGTGCAAATCTCCATGCACTTAAATTTCACCAGGGTCACCTAGACAGTGAACTGAGAAGCAGCATTAGGTTCTAGGAACTTGGCAAAGTCCATTCAGTGGAACTTTACAGAGTAGAACTTTGTCATCACTTAAACTCAAGGGATGTCAGACCTGGAAGACACTTCAGACATCTTGTCTCAGGCTTTGAACGGGAGACTTGTCCACGCGGTCACCGACTCTTAGAAAGGGAGGTTCCTGTAACTGCTCGGTCTCCTGGATACAATGAAGGGGAACAGGATGTCTTCCTGCCTTCAGTGGTTTGTCCTCTAGACTGGGGGATAGAACACAGCTGTCCCAAGAGAGCCTTAGGAGATGATTTTAGAGGTGAGAGGGAGCAAGCTTGTAGACTGGGAAACAGGAAAGCTGGTCTGATAATCAGGTGTGTTAAAAAATACCAGGGAGTTGGCCCTCCCTGGTGGCGCAGCGGGTTAAAGCACAGTACCAAGAAACTAAAGCCACTTCTGCATGAGTTCGATCCCCGCCTGCCCTGGAGGAGACCACATGGCGTGGCAGACCTCTCCTGACCCGCCCGCTGCTCCCCTCAGCAGTGGACTTCGTCCATCTGCCTGTTCTGCTCCCCACTCTGTCACTGGTGAATCCTCTCACCTTCTGCATCTCTGGCCTGTACCCCAGTTCTGTATGAATAAATAAATCATAAAAAGAAAAAAATACCAGGGAGGATGCCACGCACCAGAGGCAGCGAGAGGAAAGAGACGGAGGAGCCCGGGAGTCCGCCTGGTTCAAGCACTTGAACCTCGCCTGGTGGCAGGGAGCACAGAGCGGGCATTGCCTTTGAGGGGCTGTTTGCCTGGGAGGCAGACCCCGAGAAGCATCGGAGGAGGACAGGCCTGGCCTGCAGGCCTGCAGGGAGGACAGTCCTACTGGCTGACCAGACAGACAACTGCTTCACCATTGGGTCCTTTGAGCACGATGCTGTGGCCAGTGCAGAGCTTGTAGAAGTTCAGTGGGGCAGGGCATGGAGAGTAGACATTGGAAGAAGAAGACATCAGTTGGGAGATTGATCTATGACCTGAATTGGGTGCACAGAGGTGAGCATAGGGAGTGTTTGCAAATGTTTCTGCTGCAGCAGAAGGCTGTATACATGACGTGGCGGTAAGGAAAGTTTGCCGATGAGCTGAGGTTGGGAGCTGGGGAATGAAGAAATGGTGGTTCCTGTAGCAGAACAAGGAATGCGTGGAGAAACAAGTTTAAGCGGATGGCGAGAGAGGTGGCTACGGAACTGTGCCGCAAAGCCAGTGATCGACAGCAGGGTTGCTGCCACTAAGCACTGGGCGGGGCACGTGATGCCTGTAAATGCGGGTGAGGAGTGTGGAGAGTGTGGCTGGGTTGTCTGGCATTTAAAATGGCAATATTCAGGATAGTTACCCTTCTGGAAGCTGGAGGTTCAGAATCAGCTTTCTAAAGGGAAGCTGTATCAGCGATCCTGGTACGGCATCAAGTGCACAGAGATTTCAGCGGACCTGAGAAGACAGTAACTCACCACAGGAGCCATAGAATGCAGCTGGAAACTGCATCAAAACCCTCCATTTTAGCCTTTTTTTTTTTCATTTCTCTATCCAAGTTCCAGGTTACTTAGATATAAAAGGATGAGTTTCAGCTTGTTTTCCCCGCTACCTCTGCCTGATGAGAGATACCACGTACTGAGAAGCTGGAGGAAAGGGCGTGAGCGAGCTGCCCACTGCGTAAGCGGCTCTGCCAGGCTTGCGCGACCATCGCCAGCACAGCCAGTGGTGTCTGAGCCCAGACATGCAGCCACCTCCCCTGTGTGGCCAGCTGCAGGACTGGAGCAAACACAGACATTTTTCAAAGTAACTGAAGGGAAAAGAATTTGGTGGTTTCGTTCTTGGTGTCTGACCAGAGAGCTCTCTCCAAGCATCGGGAAGCATGCACTGCTTAAACCACGAGCCACGGTGCAAGAAGGCAGGTGCCAAGCTTCTCTGGCCATCCCTGGTCACTCTTCTCTTCAGTCTCATTTTTTTTGAGGCCCTCCTGCATGCCAAGTATTGCACATGGCCCCCAAAATATTTAAATGCCAATAGCAAGCTCCCACAGCACTCTCAGGAAGACAACCTGGAGACAAGTATCCATCCACAGCAGTGAAAGAAGTCACACAAGGCCACAGGAGGACAAGAGGTGCAGGCCGCTGTGAGAGCGGCTGGGAGGCGGCCCGGCCCCCAGGACCCTGTAGTCAGCGGGGAGACAGACTCACACCGCGCACACACAAAGCAGCCAGGCAGAGGGAAACCCTGAAAGGTTGTGGATGCAGCCCGCTTGGAGAGGGAATATGCCATGACACAAGTGAGGAAGATAAATACTGGCCCACAGGAGGCTGAATTGACTCAGAATTAAATCTGATTGGGAGAGCGCCCACTTAACCTACAGGACCCCTGGGAACAGAGTTTACTACCTGCTTTTTATCAGTGAAGACACAAAGGCTCAAATAGGAAATGACTTCTTCCATCTGTGAACAAGCCGCTCAGCTAGGAATCCAAATGAAGATTTCTAACCCCAGTTCCAATGCAATTATATATATATGTATGTTTATGTGTGTGTGTGTGTGTGTCAATTATATATACACACACATATATAAAGAAAAACAAAATATATGCATACACAAATATGCATGTACTGATATACATGCATGTGCAAGTATATATGTACACACACATGCAAGTATATATCCACATACATATGGCATGTGTGACTAGGTTGACGGCACAATTACATGACCAAGCAGGTGGGGGGGGACACCCACCGTGCAGGGGGGCTCCTGCTCCAGGCCTGCACTGACTCTTGGGAGCACTAACTCACAGACTAATAAGAAATTAGAAGCAAATGCACCTGATCCGTTGGAAAATGTCACACAGAGCAGGAACATTCTTCAAGTTGCGCTGCACTGTGAGAGCCGAGGCTGACTAGCTGGCCTGGCTAAGACGGCCCGATGCTTCATGGATTCAAAAGAGGGGTCCAGAGCCCTGGCCCCTTCTGCTCTCTGTGGACGAATATTTGCTGCTGAAGCTGAGAGGGGCCCCAGCAGCTCCTGCCCCCCCACCCCGGCAGGGGGCTAGGGCGCCCAGCAGGACACAGTGCCCGGAGAGGTGCTGAATTCCTGGGCTGGGGGAGAGCCCAGAGCATCCCGGGAGTGGGCACCCCCAGGGCAGCATTTGGGGGCTGCGGCCCCTCCCAGTGAGCCACCCGCCCCTGCCTGGAGTCTGCAGCCTGCTGCCTGTGGCCAGTGTCACTGTCACTGTCGCTCTCAAAGTGTCCCCATCGGGTGGTAAATCGAGTCCTCCTGGCCACAGCCCGCAGGGGACCCCCTTTGTGATGGTCTGGGGACCTCCCCAGAGGGGCCGCTGCCTGCAGGCCACTAACCCTTTCTGTGTCCCGCAGGTGCTCAGCGTAATGTCCCTGTTGTTCTACACTCTGGTCACAGCTCTTCTGATCGGCACACAGGCAGAACCGCGCGCCGAGCGCCATGCCCCGGCGGGCCGCGCCGGCCCCCAAGCCCACTGGACTAAGCTTCAGCACTCCCTGGACACGGCCCTCCGCAGAGTCCGCAGCGCCCCGGCCGGCGCGATAGCAGCCAGGGTGGCCGGCCAGACCGGCAACATCACTGTGGACCCCAAACTTTTCAAAAAGCGGCGGCTGCGCTCCCCGCGCGTGCTCTTCAGCACCCAGCCCCCCGCGGTGGCCGCTGACCCTCAGGACCTGGACTTCGAGGCGGCGGCGGGGGCGGCGGGGGCGGCGGGGGCCGCCTCCTTCAACAGGACTCACAGGAGCAAGCGATCGGCGCCGTCTCACCCCATCTTCCACCGCGGGGAGTTCTCGGTGTGCGACAGCGTCAGCGTGTGGGTGGGGGACAAGACCACCGCCACGGACATCAAGGGCAAGGAGGTGATGGTGTTGGGCGAGGTGAGCATCAACAACAGCGTGTTCAAACAGTACTTTTTCGAGACCAAGTGCCGGGACCCCAGCCCCGTGGACGGCGGGTGCCGGGGCATCGACTCCAAGCACTGGAACTCCTATTGCACCACGACGCACACCTTCGTCAAGGCGCTCACCATGGAAGGCAAGCAGGCGGCCTGGAGGTTCATCCGCATCGACACGGCCTGCGTGTGTGTGCTCAGCCGGAAGGCGGGGCGCAGAGCCTGACCCCCGCCACCCTCCCCCACACTCCTGGGCCCCTCCCTACCTCAACCTGTAAATTATTTTAAATTATAAGGACTGCATGGTAATTTATAGTTTATACAGTTTTAAAAATCATTATTTATTAAATTTTTGGAAGCATCCCGTGTGCTGGTGGTTCTGGTCATTTTTCCCAGCCTGCAAGACTTGGGGTGCTGCAGGGTGAGTTGTTCCCAGGCCCACCAGGCACCGCACCCCTCCGCAGCCAGCCCTGCAGCTTCAGGAAGCCTGAGTGGTTTCAGACATTCTCGGACACTGGGCCTGGGCGTGATCGGGGAAGGAAGTGAGGTTCCAGCTCCCCCCTGCATTCCAGAGCCAGCCCTTCCTAATCCTGGGATTAGCTGCCCCCAGACTGCATCCCCAGCCTTGATTGCTTCACCTGGGGAGTGCTCACTGTGGGCACCCCGCTGCCCCCCACTGAGAGGCCCCACTGGGATGAGAGGGATATGGTCTTGAAGAAGGGCATTTGCAGGAAGACCTATGAGGCTGCCTGGCTTTTGCAAGAAGAGCTACTTTTTTGCTGCCTGGAAAAGCTGCCTGGAAGAACTGTAACACGATAATTGCGTGTGGCCTGCTACGGTAGATCTGGTTTCATGTTGAAAGCGCCCCTGTTCTGACGCGGGTCCTCCATTGATCCCGTGGCTTCCTGCAACAGACTGCATTGCCCCAGAAAAACCTTAGGGCCTCCCACACACTCTTCCACCACGGTGGCCCCGGGGCAACTTTGCTCCCAACATTGGCCTGTGTTCAGGGGCGGGAGAGACCAGCCCTGCCTGGAAAGACCATGTGAAAACATTTTCATTCCTAATGAGGTGATTTCCACAGGGATCAAAGGTGAACAGAGCATGAGGCCTGAGGGAGATGGCAGGGACAGATAAATGGGGTGACACAAAGAAACAGGCCAGAATGGGAGCGGCTGAAGTGGGGGAAGTCAC